ACGAACATGCCGAAGAACACATTTTTTCTCTCGAAACAATTAAATGTTGTACTATAAGAAGTCGCTTCACAATTGGTCAAAGAGAATGGGTCCCAAAGGCAAGTAAAGGCGGCCCTCTGCTGGTTAAAACCTGGTACTTCAATTCTTCCATGTAAAATAAGTGTGGTTAAGAAATTACACCTTTTCTCAGGTCTTCTACTCTGCTTTTCTTATATGATAGTCTCTCAGATTGGCCTGGGTTTATGTTTCAAGGTGGCTTGGATCCTCCCCGTTTTTTCTATACCGTTGGTCTTTAACTCTTTTTTTCTTATAATCTAAATGTAGTTAATAATAGTGAACTGGACTATAATCTTCTCAGTTACTTGAATTAACACAGCTATATTCAATAGAAAGGCCAAGAAGTGCAATATAACAGTGAGGATAAATTTACTTATAAAAACATTTTTAGGGTGTTCCCACTTGTCATGTTTGGTTGGATTAAAACGAAACCTGGTGCGATTACTCTGTTAGTGCGGTTCATTTGAATAAGTGTGAACACTTCCATGAATAGATGGGTCTCGCTCCACTTCCAAACGAACTCTGGTGTGGTTCGACTGAGATATGAACGCAACACTGACCAAAAACATGTAAACGAACCAAAAACAGGACATGATGTCACAAGATGCGACCCTAAAAAGGACAATGCTAAGCATACCTGTTTTTTCTCGTCATAATAGGGATGTTGCCCATCACAGTTCGGTACAGGCGTCAGAACCGAGTCTCCTCGCAGCAGATCTTCATTTGTGTGTGACGGAGGGATTCCTGATGATGCTTTGACTCCTTCATAAATATTATAAGCTCTTCTCAAGATTTCAGCTGCTCAAAATACCATCATATGTAGCTACGCACATACAGCGAGCGCATTTAGCCCAGAACACAGCATTGTTTTGATTGTTCGGTAAGTTCCTTTGCAAAATATCCGAAACCGCAACAGTGTTGGCCCTGATCCGGGCCACATCTGGTACAAGTGGATTCAACGCGTTCCAGATGTGGGCCGTCACTATTGCTGTCTGGGATATGTAATAAAAGTCGACCAATCGGGTTGTAAACATATCAGTATGCCTTTAGGTTCGTTATCTTTGGGTTCTGAAAAGATGGGTCTCGCTCCGCTTTAAAATGAACTCTTGCGCGGTTTAAAAGGAATATGAACACAAAACAGATCAAAGACATCCAAATGAACCAAAAACAGGATGTGATGTCAGCAGATGCGACCCTAAAAAGGACAGAATGATGAAGCACACCTGTTTTCTCTCGTCGTAGGAGCTCCGTAGCCCATTAAAGTTCGGTACAGGAGTCAGAAACGCGGTCTCCTTGCAGCAGATCTTCGTTTGTGTGCAACAGAGGGAGTGTTTTGACTTCTTTACACATTTTACAAACTCTTCACATGTTCTCAGCTCTGGTCAAAATGCCATCATACATACACACGTTTATAATGAGCGCATTTAGCCCAGCATATATGTATATATGTCATTATGTTTGGTCTTAGAAAGACCGTGTGAACACTAAGCGAAACATGAATAAATGTATTATTTTCTTTTTTTGGTCCGGACCAAAAGAACTAAGAGAACTGAACTACAAGTGTGAACACACCCTTAAGAAGTATAATAATAATTCACTAAAAATGAGTTCAGACATTTTAAACAGATTGAATTTCCAATAGAATCTTTGCATGTTATGCCATTTTCATTGTTATTTTAAACATTTTTTGAATTGTGCATATTTAATTCTGCATTGGTAATCCAATTCAATTCTTGCAAATCTCTTATCAGTTCCATCACGAACCTCTAGGGGTTCACAAACCTCGGGAAAACTTTCACTTACTAAACGCAAATTACATTTTTGATCAGAATATAGCTTTCGCTTGCCGACACCTTGTATTTACATGCAATACAACACACACGCGAGATAAGACACAGATTAACAGGAGTGATTGTCTCATAAAAAGATTTATTTTCTGCCTAAATGTACAAAGGCAAGTTACAGTATTGTATAAAAAATGTAGCAATTTACACTTTACACGAGAGATCCCTAGGAAGAGAGAGTGAGACAGTGAGGAAAGGCAGGGAGAGAGAGAGAGAGAGAGCAATGGTTTACAAAGAGAAATGAATCCAAACATAGAAATGAAGAGGTGTAAACATCTGTCTTTCAAGTACCAATGACTGACACTGCTCTCTATGGGCGTGGGGTGGGTGGGGCTTAATTAGTGACGCGGGTTGTGGGAGGGGCCTAATAAAAACAGAAAACTGAAGAGAAAAAAACAAATTCCCTCTTCTCTTCCCACAAGGATCGCACAGGGAGGCTATATTAGCACCGTTGGAGACAAATCTGAACGCATGTTTGAACTGTTGAAACAAAACCGGCCGTTTCATCTTTCTAAAAGGAGAAAACATGAACTAGAAAAAACGACAGCAACAACAAAATGAAGAACCCTCAAAAATAAATTAAAAACAATCAAGCGCTTTTTCCTCAACAATTATGAATCAAGTCACCAGACAAAGCACAGGTTTACTGGCTAAACGCGCAAAGACAGAACAACTAAAAAGTGAGTTTATTACTATATATAAAAATCCTAACTCTCTCGTATTAGTGCGAGCCTTTCGAGACCAGTGCTGCAGTTTCACTTAAGTTACCGTTTAGGGCTTTAGTTAGAGAAAGCTGGTCCTAAATCAGCATAGAAATGTAAAGTTTTCCATCACCGCGGAGAGAATGAAATAAAAATGGCTAAAAAAAATCTGGCCCAACAAAATGGAAGTAATAAAATGTGCGATTTTTAGCATGTGTTTTAGTTGCGGCATTGAAATTATCACAAAATAATGCCTACCCTGCAGATACTAAACATGAAGATGAAAAACAAACGGTCATGTTTAACATGGATGGGGGGAGCCGCTGTAAACGAATTACGTTAAGTAATGTCTTCTTCCCTGTGCCGCTCTATAATCGAGTTTGAATGCGGCGGCTGAGAGCGATGAACATGCCAGGATGATTTAAAAGGCTCAGGTTTCAATAATAATGCTCTCCTGAGAGATTGCGATTCAGACGATAACTGCATGATGATGAACTGGAAAGACTAGCTCCAGATAGCACCAGACTCGGGTCGTCCTTTCCCACAGTTCCCATCAATCCCTCTTGAAATATGAACGTGCCTTTGCTTTTGTGTCTCGCAAGGGTGTGGACTAAAAATCCTGTGACGTTCTATTAAAACTTTGCGCAAAAAGATGTGCTTCTAAAACAGTTTCAAAGCAGAGTGAGACTGACTTGAAGAGTGTTGAAGAGGAGGGGTAGAAAAAGTAGTTAAAAAACAAAAACACTTCCGATATAAAGCCGTTATACCAGCTAAACGTTGATATCATGTCAACAATGGTAGAAAAAAAGGCTAACAGACAAAAAAAATAAAAAGAGAGAGAGAGAGAGATAGTAAGAAAATCCGATAGCATTCAACAACTGTTTTTTAAAATAATTCCTTTGTACAATATCTACAGAAAGCACATAGTGAGGGAGATAAGGAAGGAGTTGCTTTGCTTTCTGTTTGGGTTAATGCTTTTACCGAGTGCTGGGTAAAACCACGCACACGTACAGAAGAAAGCGTGTTTTCCAGGTGTGGTTTTCCTTGTTTGGCTCCGCGAGTCTGTGGATCAGTGAGAACTAACCCAAGGTTAAAGTCCAGAAGATGGAGGCCAAATCTAACCCTCTTTTGGGGTTATCTTACTCAAATCGCTCTAAGCTTTGCCCCGTTTCGGACTTTAATCCGCAAGCAGCATATCAATGAAAACTGTCAATCATCGCAGGCCGGAAAAAAATCCGTAAATCCAGTCTGGAAGTCAAAAGTTCCTGCATTTTGTGGCACTTAAAGCCAATGCTTCATCTTCCCTCCACCACCCGGATCATCCAAACGTCAGAAGGCCCATCATGTCATCGCTTAAAGGGATAGTTCACCCTAAGATGAAAATTAGCCCATGGTTTACTCACCCTGAAGCCATCCTAGGTGTGTATGACTTTCTTCTTTCAGACGAATACAATTGGAGTTATATAAAAAAAATGTCCTGGTTTTTCCAAGCTTTATAATGGCAGTGAATGGCCGTTTCGGTTTGAAGTCCATAAAAGTGCATCTATCCATTATAAAAGTGCATCTATCCATCATAAAAGTGCATCTGTCCATCATAAAAGTGCATCGATCCATCATAAAAGTGCATCCATCCATCAAAATGCACTTTTATGATGGATGGATGCACTGTTATGATGGAAAGACGCACTTTTATGATGGATAGATGCACTTTTAATGATGGATGGATGCACTTTTATGATGGATAGATGCACTTTTATAATGGATAGATGCACTTTTATGATGGATGGATGCACTGTTATGATGGAAAGACGCACTTTTATGATGGATAGATGCACTTTAATGATGGATAGATGCACTTTAATGATGGATGGATGCACTTTTATGATGGATAGATGCACTTTTATAATGGATAGATGCACTTTTATGATGGATGGATGCACTGTTATGATGGAAAGACGCACTTTTATGATGGATAGATGCACTTTAATGATGGATGGATGCACTTTTATGATGGATAGATGCACTTTTATAATGGATAGATGCACTTTTATAATGGATAGATGCACTTTTATAATGGATAGATGCACTTTTATAATGGATAGATGCACTTTTATAATGGATAGATGCACTTTTATGATGGATAGATGCACTTTTATAATGGATAGATGGACTTTTATAATGGATAGATGGACTTTTATAATGGATAGATGGACTTTTATAATGGATGGATGCACTTTTATGATGGATAGATTCACTTTTATAATGGATAGATGGAGTTTTATGGCCTTCAAAACAGAAACGGACATTCATTGCCATTATAAAGCTTGGAAGAGCCAGCATTTTTTTTATATAACTCAGATTGTATTCGTCTGAAATTTGAGTGTCATATACCCCTAGGATGACTTGAGGGAGAGTAAATCATGGGCTAATTTTCATTTTTGGGTGAACTATCCCTTTAACGACCGATGCGAAGCCCCGTCGCCCGTTCGAGAACAAAACATTTGCCTTGCACTGCAAAACGACCAATGCTAAGCAGTTAACGGAGTGACTTTGGGCTATTTGTTCATCATCCATAAATGAAAAGTCAAAAGGAACGTGAAAGAAAATAACTATGAACGTCAAAGGCAGGGAAGTGCATTAAAAACTGCCTGTTGAACAAGGAACTCAAGTATGTTGAAACGATAGCTTCGCAACGGGACTGCCCTGAATGAACTGAGTGAGGGAATCAAGCCTTATCCACTTGCATAGTGTCCACAAAGAGATTGTGTGTGTAAATGTGTGAAGATGAAGATGCTGGAATCCTTCGGGGGGGAAACAACAATAATCCTTATGGCTCTAGAGCAGCAGTCCAGAACATCAGAACTCCACCTTAAACACAATGTAGTGACTTCCAGGAATGTCTTAGCATTCATTGAAGATTTCCCACATTCTGTAGGTCCGTGTGTGTTTTCCGAGAGCTTGCGCATCGTGTGTGTCTCCTCTCTCCTGAGTATGTTTCCAGCAGCACAGAGAGGGAGGCGCATGGATCTGCTTTTTCTCCTCTCTGACGGTGTTGGACGAAGGCGCCGAGAAGAAGTCCGGGGAAAAAGAACCATAAAGAAATCAGGAACATCATTGAACTGATGTCATAAGCTCCTCCACACCATGTCCTCATGTGAACCAGTCACATTTCTGCAGAAAAGCGGCTAGTCACTTCTCCCTGGAGAGGGAACGAGAACACATTTGAAATATCAAACATGAGACAATTTTAATAACAGACGCATACAGTCAAAACAAAAATTATTCAGACACCAGATAACATTTTTGATTTTTTTGGGACACTATAGTTCATTTATGTAAGTGAGGAGAGCAAAATAAAGTAAACTGTGACATATTACACCCAAATATCCTTCATACCAGTATAAAAATTTGGGATCAAATATGATTCCTCCACTTTGAGCTGATCATGTTTTGCTGAAGTGTGTTTTCTGTCATTGCTAATGCTCTTTTTACACACAGACTGAACAACATGAAGCATTGCTTGGTCACTGGTTGAGCTAAACTGGTATTATCTAATTGTGTAGTTAAATTTAACAGCTGACAGATATTCAACATAATTCATGTGTGAGAGTCTAACAGAAGGACGGACAAAACCAGTCAAATATCCACTGAGTTCTGCTCATATTTATTACCATTTTCTAAACTATAGCGAATAAACTGTGATAATGTTGAAGGTGTCTGAATAAATGTTGGTTTGACTGTATATGATTCATTATATGTGACTAAACAGCCATATAAAGAGGCCTTGGTATATAAGAGATTTTCACCACTAGAGGACAGCAAAGACTGTACAGTCAAGAATCAGTCGAGGATAAAACACTATTTAGGGCTGGATGATAAATCAATATTATTATGGTAGCAATATAAAAGTTAACTAACGTTGTGAATACTGTGCTGAATGTAATGCGCTTTTTATTGGCCATTAAGTTCCTAAAGACCGTGTTATTGAGTTCAATTTATTTCTGCAGGTCATTTCTTTGAAATTGTCCTATTTAAAGAATTGGTTAAAAATACTGAAAGACATTTAATGTGCATGTGCATGGACGTCCCCCATAGCATTTTGTTTTTCGTGTGCTTTACAGCAATTTAAGGAAAAAAATATACATTGTTGTTTATCATTATGCATTATGTTGGCCCACAAAAAAAAAACTAAAAAAAATGTACTTCTTTGAGTTCAATTAGTGAAAAATGCAAGAAAATACGATTATTTTACTACAATTCTACCAAGTAACAATGACTTTGATAAAATAATGGTTCCTCTAATATAAAAAAAACACATTTTCAGAGTAAAAACATACTGAGATATGAATCAACTATTTAAAAGAGGTGAATATTACAGTATATTTCGCTAAACGTATAAGATAAATGTTTTGTGCTTGCAGATAAAGATGAACTATCTTACCATTCTCACCTCCGTGCGGGGGGGTAAAGTGAAGGGGCGGAGGCTTGTTGACTTGCAACAATGGCTGAAGAGGAGATACCTGTGAGATGGAGAAACACCTTAGTTAATGTGACAGTGGATATGAAACTTTCTAAACAGCTGTTTAGTCAGAGTCAAGGCCAGCTAACATGATTTTACAGTTGACCTAAACCAAGCTACAGTCAAACCAATGTATTCAGACTCCTTCAACATTTCTCACATTATCACAGTTTATTCGCTATAGTTTAGAAAATGGTAATAAAATATGAGCAGAACTCAGTGGATATTTGACTGGTTTTGTCCGTCCTTCTGTTAGACTCTCACACATGAATTATGTTGAATATCTGTCAGCTGTTAAATTTAACTACACAATTAGATAATACCAGTTTAGCTCAACCAGTGACCAAGCAATGCTTCATGTTGTTCAGTCTGTGTGTAAAAAGAGGATTAGCAATTACAGAAAACACACTTCAGCAAAACATCATCAGCTCAAAGTGGAGGAATAATATTTGATCGCAAATTTTTATAGATGTTACCGGTAGTCACTGTATGAAGAATATTTGGGTATAATATGTCACAGTTTACTTTATTTTGCTCTCCTCACTTACATAAATGAACTATAGTGTCCTGCACACACTAGTAAAAAAAAAAAAAAAAAATGATATCTGGTGTCTGAATAATTTTTGGTTTGACTGCTTTTTTGAATTGCTTACCTGTAGCATAAGACAGGTCGTACTGTCCTGGGAGTAGTGGATAGCCTAGATGATGGTGGGAAGGCATGATCCGCTGAGAAGGTGAAGATCTTGGACGTTCACCGTCTCTTTCTCGGTCACTCCCACTTCGGTCTCTTTCATGGGGCATCTTTTCACCCACTGTGGGTGATTTGCTCTTGTACTGGTTAGCATGCTGATGCAAGATGTCCAGGGCTTTGGACTCTGACGCAGACTTGCCGCTCACCGTAGGACTGGCACGAGCCTTCTCACCCTCCTCACCAGGGGGCATCTTACTGCCATATGGAGAAAAGGAGTACCCTGGCGACAGGTACGATCCTAAAGAAAGGTGAAAATAACAGTGACACTTTAAAAATCAGTATTCTGGTTATAAGTGAAATTACATGTTTCCTAAGGTGGTATCAAAAAATTAGGGATGCACGATATATCGGCCACCATATCGGTACCGATATTATGTTCATTTTTAATAATATCGTTATCGGCCCTATATATGGCTGATATACAAGTATTGCACATATGTATATTAATTATATATGTACATATAGTTTCTCTATGTATGTGTGTATGTATGACATGTATGGTGATATAAAGAAATTAGGAATGCACGATATATCGGCGACCATATCGGTACCGATATATGTTAATTTTTAATGTTATCGTTATCGCCCGATACGAAAATATGGCTGATACACAAATATTGCACATATGTATAATTATATATGTACATATAGTTTCTCTTTATGTATGTGTGTGTATATATGACATGTATGGTGGTATAAAGAAATTAGGATGCACGATATATCGGCGACCATATCGGTACCGATATATGTTCATTTTTAATGTTATCGTTATCAGCCCGATAAGAAAATATGGCTGATATACAAGTATTGCACATATGTATAATTATACATGTACATATAGTTTCTCTTTATGTATGTGTGTGTATATGACATGTATGCATATGTATAATTTGTATGCATTCTTCTCAAATTAATTTGATTTATTTTTCTCTTTCCTCACGTTTATGTATTCATACATGTCTTTATTTATGTATTCAGTACAACATGTATAACTTGTGCTTTTAACATTCAGGAATGAGGGCAATGTTGTTTTATCATATCGTATTGCTGTCAATGGTTCCATTTATGTAAAGCTTAATAAAGAATAAAAAAAAATGTGTTAAAGATTTTGTAATAAAAAAATAAAATTAAAATTTTGGACGATATATAAAAGCCAATAAATAATGGATTATTTCCTTCAGCTGAGACACTTCAGACATGTTCAACATGCACTGTTCAACATGATGGTTTTGAATTGCTTGAAATATGATTGGAATCACTTCAAAAAAGGAGAATAATTCAGTGCAACATGTGCAGCGCAAGTGTCTCATATCGGCTACATAAAATTATAATGAGAACATTATAATTGTGTGCTTGGGATATGGCTTTTAATTATGAGACTTGTTTTTGAAATCAGGCACTCAAATTTCGATTTATCGGCTAATATATCGGTTATCGGCTTTCAAATATAAAGAATTATCGGTTATCGATATTATCGGCCAAAATTTTCATCGGCGATGCATCGGTGCATCCCTACAAAAAATGACTGCAAAAAACCTAGTTAGCTCAACAAAAGGACTTACCAGGGTAATTCTGCATCATGACAGCAGGCATCCCCCTGTATCCCGGATGGCCGGTGTCATAACCTTGACCATAGGGGTATCCGTGCATATATGACATATATGACTGGTGCTGCGGCAGAGGTGTGGAAAACTGCATATGTGCTCGTGGATCTTTGCTAACTCCTCTATGCTCCTCTGGGGCTGATGAAGTTCGTGGTTCTGCCACTTCCTTATTTTCCTCTTTAGAGGGAGTGTCTTTATGACGTGACCTTTCATCTTTGCCCTTCCGGTCTCTCTCACGGTCTCTGTCCCGATCTCGGTCCTTTTCTCGCTCACGATCCCGTTCTCGCTCTTCCTTCCACCTCTCCTCATCAATCTGTTTCTGAGCATCAGGGTACTTGCTGGGGTAAACGTAGGGCCACAGTCGAGAGTCTGGCTCCTGGAAAAAAAAGTAGAGTTAGAAATGCTCATTATGAAAGAAAGGTAAGTGCATAGTGAGGGTTCTTATAACTATTAGGGCTGTCAAATAATAATGAAGAATCAAGAGTTTTACATTTCTCAAGAAAGCCATAAAGGTTAAAACTGTGATGAAAATGACCCTATAACTGGTATAGTATAAAGAAACCAAAATAATGTTTAAGCAATGTTTAAGTTCCATACCTGTCTATACATGTACATTGCCTGCTCCATAGCCGATCTTCCAGACTCGAGGCCTGATTTCTGCTCATCCTTTGTATGATGGCCAGCTTCACTTAGCTTCATTTTCAAACCCTCACCTTGCTGGCTCTGTCCCTTCCCATCTTCCCCTTTGGGGATAATGACTGACTTGCCAGGCTCTGAGGGATCTTTGGGCTTGCTCTGTGGGGACGGCTTGCCCAAGTCTGAGATGCTTGGCGCCTTAGACAATGTTGGAGGAACCGAAGCTTTCTGCTTCCATTCTTCTTGCTTAATGGAGGCTTCCCTGTCCTTCTGAGCAGCCTCTGATTTCTTCTCTGCAACACGATGCTGCTCAGCAGCTTGTCGTTGTCGGTCCTCACACTGTTGCCTGTAAGCTGGGCTTGTGTTCAGCAGGTGGTTATGATAGGTCTGATCTGGTGAATAGCCAAAGGGAGGTACATAGGCATACTGATTGTAATAGAGGGGCTGCATGAACATGCTAGAACGCTGTTGAATGACCGAAGGCTGCTGTTGCGGTTGCTGTTGCGGTTGCTGTTGCTGTTGAGAGGGTACAACTATATCTGGCTTTCGTTCTTCAGGCGGCTCTGATTTGCCCTTGTCAATCCCTGGTTCTGGTTCCTCCTCTTTTTTCACCTTCACTGCAACATCTTGCAACGATGTGGCAGGGTTAGAGACTCCTGGACTGGGGTTTGGGTTGCTATAATTGGGCGAATAGTATGTTTCGTAACCTGGATAATAAGAGGGGTCTTTGTTTGGTGGTTGGGATGGAAATAGAGATTTCTTGGCACCTTCCCGAACTGCCTGATCCTCAGACTTGACCTTTATACCATCCACTTTGCCCTCGCCATCCTCCCCTGCATCTGAGATGTCAGAGTATGCTGGGCTATTGGTCTTCACAGAAGAGTTATCTGCCCCATTTTGGGTAACCACATGCAGTGGAGTAAGAGGCTGTGCCATCCCACCACTTTCTATCCGACTAGCCACGCCAATAGAAGGACTGGGGGAATTGTCAGAAAAGCTGTAGATTTTGTCTGCCTCTGCTTTCATGCTGGCTAGCCGACTTTGATGTGGATCCGTGGATCCGTTTAACAGTCCCTCAATCTTACTGCCTTGGTCTGAGCTTTCAGAATATGGGCTCTTACCTTCTTCAGGTTTCCCTCCTTTGGAAGGGGCTTTTGGACTGTCTCCTTCCTTACTGCCCTCCTTCTTTTTCTTATCTTTCTTTTTCTTGTCCTTAGAACCGCTTAAGACTGGGTTAATTGAGGGATCTCCTATTACTGCAGGTTTGGGTTGAATGGACTTTAGTTGGGGGCTCTTGCTAATGGACTGGACCACAGAGCCCATACTGGCGGAGGAGCCAGAATTGGGAGCAGGGAAGCCAGAGGTTGGTAAGTTGTACAATTGCTGTGGAGGTAAAGAGGGAACCAGGGGTCTTGCGGACTTCATTGCCTTCTGAGCAAGTTTGTCTGCCTTGGTACTACTCCCAGACTTCTTAGCTTTATCCAAGCCTCTTTTATCATCAATGCCATCATTGCTCGTCTCATCTGTAAGACATGGGCCATCCTCACAGCCATCCATGGGCACAACAGAGTCATGCTCAGTTTCTGGTTTCTTCTTGCCAGGCTGCTTCGAGCTGAACTTTCCTGATGAGGGTGATTGGCTCTGGGCATCAAATCCTCTACCTTTGGGTGTGTTCGACCTTGCAGGAGATGCACAACCCTTCTGGGAAATGGATGCACCATTGCAACTACCTGACTCAGGGTGCAAAGTGGAGTCCTCACCATACTCACTATCACCATCTATGTCCAGCTTGATATCATCATCATTGTGAGCACGAGCCTGGTGATATTTAAGTCCATTAATGTGCTTGTATTTCTTGTTGCAGTTGGGATGGGGGCAATCAATGAGAACCGGTGAGGGGCAGCTGCGATCTAAAGAAGGGGGCAAGGATTCAGCTTTGATGTTGGACAGGGGAAGAATAGTATGAGGTATTCCACTATTCGAATTGGTTCGCATTCGTTTGCTACCCTTAGTATCCTCAGAACTAGAATTGGGCTCCATGTCTGAGGCAGGTTTGTTCTTGCGTTTGTTAGCAGATGAAGGACTAGCCTTTATATCCTCAGGGTTGCTGTTTGGTGGGGTTCGTCGCTCAGAGGAATTCTGACTGCCCCGTCGCCCTTTGCTGTTCGACGCGGCTCGAGTCTTGCTGGTGTTGCTGCCTTTGTTATCAGAAGAGTTACTGTTTTCATTGACTGGCGTATTGCTATTGGGCCTCATTCTTTTACCCCGTCCACGGCCATTCCTCATCTCCAGGTCACTTGTGGGTGACTCACAGAACCTGAAGAAGTGTAAGGGAAAAATTAATTTCAACTGAATAGGAAAAATGACTCTTCCATAGACATTAAAGGGATAGTTCACCCAAAAATAAAAATGTATGATTTACCCATGATTTACTCACCCTCAAGTCATCCTAGGTGTATTTGACATTCTTGTTTTAGACAAATACAATCGGAGTTGTATTAAATTAAATGTCTTGGCTCTTCCAAGCATTATAATGGCAGTGAATGGCCGTTAAAGTTTGAAGTCCATTAAAGTGCATCCATCCATGATAAAAGTGCTCCACGCGGCTCATTTTTAAATATAACTCCGATTGTATTCGTCTGAAAGAAGAACGTCATATACACCTAGAATGACTTGAGGGTGAGTAAATCATGGGCTAATTTTTATTTTTGGGTGAACTATCCCTTTAAATTCAGAATCAATAATCAAATAAATAAGTGCCATCCATTTTCTACCTAAAACTCACAATTATCTGCTAACCACAAAGGCCGCTAACAGTCCTGCAGAGATTCTAGGATGAGAAATGGCCTCTCTTCTAAATCAGCCTCTACATTTGGATGCTATAAGTGCTTCTCTAGTGGGCCTTGGAGAGCCAGCAACGTGCTGTGCGTTTTTATCCTCTCGTTATCCCTGATCTAGACAGCAATGCTTGTTCTGATGAATGGCACGCAGTACCACACTGCTGCAGGATTAAGCCAGGGTGACCTGGCTGCTGATTAGATGCAGTGTGATAACATCCTCCAACAGATAAGGAACAAGAGCAACCAGAGCTCGATCAAAGCACAGGCATTGAACCATAGTAAAACAAAGCAGTTAAGAAAGCTACCTCAGGGCCCCCAGTCCTCAGAACAGAACTAAGATTTATAAGGACGAGCAGAATGACAAGATGATATACATCACAGGTTGATATGTAATGTTAGAGATATTTAACAGGAGAAAAACTCTGTCGGGAGTTGTCCTGTGGGTTAGAAGGAACTAGATAGGTTATGTTCTATATTTCGATTGTTGGTTATACAACAATTTCATGACATATGCTGTTTTTTCAGCATCTCAATGCATGATTTTCAGATGGTGCGTGAAGTCACTGTGTACAGCTCCGTAAATTGTCATCGCCCTCTAACTAACTGGACCACAAGTTAACACCCAAATCATTGCTGTCACTTTATGGCTCGTTTCCACTGAGGCGTACGGTACGGTACGGTACAGTACCGTATGGGTCGGTACAGCATGATCCGGCTAGCGTTTCCACTGCCAACAGTACCCTTACTTGATAGGCGTGGTGTTTGCCGGAAAGAAGCGATCAACGTCATTTTCGCGCGAAGAAAGCGACATAGTAAACAACTATGGATGACAGACAGCAGATCTTGTTCTTGCTTCTCGGGATGTTTGTCACAAGAAACAAGCGCTGGCATTACGAGTTTCTCAATACCAAGTAGCCACGCAAAGTCCGACTCAGGAGAATGACTCCCGAGGACGCGAGTCCAGTAATTCTGCTGATGGAACAGCACGTTCTTGAAAGCGCCACTCAGATCGCTCTGGTCCGGTTATGTACATTTTAAACGAAATATGTTATAAAACACCACTCTGCTTCTTTTCGATTTAATTTAAATACATTTTAAACATTATAAGCACACAAATGTGGTTCAGGCAACGCATAGCCTATTGATTATATTCACTGCATGTAAATAACGTTATATTTATAACAAAACTAAATATAAAACACAACCCTGCCTCTTTTCGTTTAAATTTAAAAATATTAAACATATTCCAGGCAATGTATTGCATATTGCATTGGTACAAATGTTGCAATAAACAACATTACAGATGATCTTGTAATAAAATAAAAAAATGACAAAACTATCTATTTTTGTTGAATTTCAGTTTTATCAATAATAGCCATTATAAAAGTATAAGTAAAAGGTACAAAAAGATATACAGTAAAGCTTTAATAACATAAAGCAAACAATTCAGTCAAATATACAAATTCAGCGCTCAAATATATGAAACTTCACTGAGCCTTCTGCCAAAACTATTGGCCAGGGAACGAATTATAGATTCACGAGACCAAAGATCGCCTGTTAGGTCTGTACAAGACGAATTATATCTCATGTTTAACCACTACAGAGACGTCAGAGTCAGCGGCAAACATCAGAATGACTAGCCGGGGAAAGGCTGCTCCAGGCGGGGTGCACGAGCGCCGAGCGTCCGGTTGCTTGGAATGGATCTTCAAATTATCATAAATCTATAAATAAACCACAGATTTGAGCTTTAAAAAACTACTTTCTCGCCTGAAAAACTCTTAAAACTACATTTCGTGACACAATAACAGTAGTATTATATTTCAACTGTATGTTTCTAATGCCCTTGTAGCACGCGCAAGTGACTATACTCTGTCAACCAATCAGCGTTCTGCAGTGAGTCTAGCTCCACCTTTTAGTACCGTACCACTGAGCTAGGTACCCCAACGGAAGGGTACCCAAAAAGTGGTACGGTACGGTTCGGCTTTTTGGTACCATTCACAACTTTTGACAGTGGAAACGCAAATAATTGCGTACCCGAACCGAACTGTACCGTACCACTCAGTGGAAACGAGCCATTAGAGTAGATGTTTACTTTACACTAAAGGTTCTTGCACCCTGAGTCCGAAATGGTCATCTGGTGAAAAAATAAATACGACCTCACGTTGTGCCAATCACATTTACACACTGCCCCCGAAACTTTTGTCCGTCATAAAAAAATTCGGATTGGGTTCAATATTCTGCGTTGTTTTGCATTCGTAGCAAGCATTTTGAGAGATGTAAAAGCGATCGCCAAAATCTAGAACTGTTCAGGATCAATTGGTTCACGGAAATTGGTGGTCGTCTTTTTGGTGGCTCGGCTCCAGTATCGCTAGCAAAGCAATCGAATCGCTAGCAAAGCAATTTGAATCGCTCGGGATAATCCCAGAGCGAACTCTCCTTCCTCTCTGCGCAATCTCAGGATTGGGATGGACCCAATATTTCCTCTCTCTTTTTCTCTTTTTAAGAAAAGAGAGGACAACAAAATCATCCTCACTGCTTGAAGACTCCATTGTGTATTGCTTCGCAACGGATTAATTAATACGCATCGGACCCAGTGTGCAAGGTTTCTGTGCTTGACGAATTTTTAGGATGACGAATACGAGAAAACGCGTACGAAAATTTCGGACTCCGTGTGCAAGGACCTTAAAGGTGCAGTGTGTAATATTTAGGAGGATCTGTTGACAATGCAATATCATATACATAACTATGTTTTCAGTGGTGTATAAAGACATTCCATAACAAACCTTATGTTTTTATTAGCTTAGAATGAGGCGTTTCTCTCTACACACACCGCGGGTCCGCTTATATCCACATGTTTCTACAGTGGCCCTGAGCGGACAAACGCGTTTCGTCACTATGTTGTTCTTTGTGCAAAGAAGCTGCTAAAGTCAGCCAATAAAACACTGACACAATGATGAACAAGTAACAATAATATTCACAATAACATCGTTTTACTGAATAATTAAGTAAACCTAATTTCTTAATTTATCTTTTTAAGAATCCTCATTATTTAACTGGCTACTCTCTGCTGTCTCAGACGACGACATCACTTCCTGTCGCCCACCGTAACTTCTGTTTATTGCAATTCCCAACCTCACCACTAGATGCGCTAAAAATCACACACTGCACCTTTAAGTTACAGAAAACCAATCTTTGCATCTCTGTGAGTTTGATCTCTGCGAGTTTGACTTTCACATTCATCATTAATTGCGTTAATCTGTTCCAAAGACTACATGTGACTCAAAGCAGCTCCGACTGGAACACAAACATATAGAAGAAACGCATATGAATGCACTGCATCATCTTCACCGGTGCTCTCCCCAGGGGTTAATGCTGTGTTAGTGATGTTTGCCTGCAGCCAGAAGATAAAGTGCACCATGGAAATACAGCCTTTTCTGGAACATTACGATTAGAAATCAGAAGCTGCCTCCTAAGGCAGAGTCTCTTAAATTTACACAGTATTATGTACAGCAAATTATTTGTACCATGCAGTGCTGGTATCTAACCTTGGGCAGGTTACAGCATGATAACTAAATGTTGGAGTGTCTGTACTGTAAAAGGCATGTGCAAGGTCAAAAAACGAGGCTCCTTCAGACCGTAGCTCATTATTATTGCCTCAAGCTATATTAACCCTTAATCTAAGGGTCATGCGAGAAGTTCACGGCATTAGGACCCAGCAGAATCGTAACTGAAATGCTGGTCTGTAAGGGACTACTAATGCTTTAGATCGATGCGAGGAGGAGAAAAGAATAGGGAGGATGGGAATCAATTCCTTCATGATGTTGCATTTCAAAAGGTGAGTGTCAGCAGGGGGTGGGGGGGCATTTTGACACATTACCCTCTAGTGTTTCCTTCATTACTGCACAATCCCAGAGGAGATGAAAGGGTCTAGCAGGAGTGTGTAGTGGCCAGAATCAACTCAAACAGATACACTGTATAGAGCTTTACACTGCATTGGGTTACACTTTATTTTAATGTGTCATTATTACAGAGTAATTATTCATTTAAGTACAGAGTAATATTAAGTAACAACATGTACAGGTGAAACTTGAAAAATGAGAATATGGTGCAAAAGTTCATTTATTTCAGTAATTCGACTTAAAAGGTGAAACTAATATATTATATAGACTCATTACATGCAAAATAAGATATTTCAAGCCTTTATTTGTTATCATTTTGATAATTATGGATTACAGCTTATGAAAACCGGGTAATCCATAATCATCAAAATTATAACAAATAAAGGTTTGAAATATCTCACTTTGCATGTAATGAGTCTATATAATATATTAGTTTCACCTTTTAAGTCGAATTACTGAAATAAATGAACGTTTGACCCATATTCTAATTTCTCGAGTTTCACCTGTAGTTACTCTAGGGTTTGGTTGAGGGTTAGTTGCATGATTTACTGTTATTACTATGGTAATTACATGTAACAAAGACACTGTAAAATAAAGTGTTACCCTGAATTTGTAAGGCAAAACTGTGCCAAATTCGAATAGGTTTCCATTTCATGGCAAACTAAAAGTAGGTTGAATTAACCCTACACAAACAGTACAGGCTTGTATTTGCTAACTCTTACCGTGGAGGAGCCCAGTCATGTCGGGTGCAGTCTAGCAGGGTGCCCACATACGTCTTGTTCCTCCAGGTAACATTTACAACCAGCATACCTGAAGAAAAGACACCAACACAGAAAATAAGACCTCAAGCACTGAAACGCATATAACAAAGTTGATTTATTTTACTTTACTAGCTAAATGAATGCACGGTTTAGCTTAACAGATCACAGATATGATACTGGACGAGACGAAACTACAGCCTCAAGTCAAATATCTAATTGGGGATCTGGGTTTAGATGCAGCAAATATTACGCCCGTGAGCACGATTAGAGTATTTAGACTAGTTGGCAAAAAGATAAATGACTGCTTGTTGGCACAAGCGCACTGCAGATTATACATTCCTCAGCACAGATGTCCAAATCTAGAGCACCTCGTGTATGTAAAGCTATTAGTATGCAGAGAAGTAAAGAACAGACATTGCTGTAGCATTGTAACACATACAGTCAAATCAAATTATTCAGACACCAGATATCATTTTTGATATTTTCCACTAGTGTGTGCAGGACACTATAGTTCATTTATGTAAGTGAGAGAGCAAAATAAAGTAAACTGTGACATATTATACCCAAATATTCTTCATACAGTGAAATTTGGGATCAAATATTATTCCTGATGATGTTTTGCTGAAGTGTGTTTTCTGTAATTGCTAATGCTCTTTTTACACACAGACTGAACAACATGAAGCATTGCTTGGTCACTGGTTGAGCTAAACTGGTATTATCTAATTGTGTAGTTAAATTTAACAGCTGACAGATATTCAACATAATTCATGTGTGAGAGTCTAACAGAAGGACGGACAAAACCAGTCAAATATCCACTGAGTTCTGCTCATATTTTATTACCATTTTAGCGAATAAACAGTGATGATGTGAGAAATGTTGAAGGAGTCTACATATATATGTGTTGTGTTAGTTTTGGACTGGATTCAGCTGAGGTATATAAAAAGACTCTTCCGAGTCCCGGCCGTCCAGATCTGTCAACATTATGTCCAGCTCCTGCAGGTTGTATGTGTGTGCTTGACATTTCCTACAGCGAAAAGTGCCAAGAGTGACAGAGATGATCCACCGCTTCACTGAGCCCCGTGTGTAACGCCAGGTGGCAGCAGGAGCATCTTTTAAAGATGTAGTTTGAGGAAACATTAAGTGCCTGGAATATGGTACACACCTCTGCGCCTCCCCACCCTCAAAGCAACTCCACCGTGCACACACACACACACACACACACACACACGTCTGGTTCACTATCTCTGTTAACCCAACATAACCCTTTGTGAGGACTCTCCATAGACGTAATGGTTTTTATACTGTCCGAAACTGTATATTCTGTCCCCTTAAGGCTCGGTTATACTCCAGTTGGGACGCGTACGTGGACTACTTGTGTTTACACTGTCCGCTCGGTGAACGCGTTCGGCTTGGACAAAAACAACAACATATTGTTGCCCATTTATTGAACTTCCATGCCTCTTATATAGTAATTATATATTACTATGGGCCAATTTACAAATGCTCGGACCCACTCGGTCTCTCTCGCGCAGTGTCAACTTTATATAACTATAAAATTTCCATTTATTTGCCTTAACAAAACGGTCTCTCAGATATTTCCGCTTCTGCCGACACGTTCTTCTTTCCCTCCAGGAGTTATTACACATCTGGCTGTCTTTGTGATCTTTTAACGAAGGATTGTAGTAGGGGTGGAACGGTACACAGAAGTCACGGTTCGGTTCATACCTCGGTTCAGACATCACATCACATCAAATTCGTGCACCGAACCGTGACGCCCGTACCGTTTCGGTTCAATACGAATACATGTACCGTTCCACCCCTAGATTGTAGAGGTGCGGTTAGCAACGGACTTCTTCACACAGCCTCTCTTCAAATTGGACATCCATTTTTTCCCAGCGCTTTCGCGGTTGGTTTTAACCTATAGTGTCCGCGCAGTACTTGTCCACATGGTCACAAAAAATGGGAGGCACGCGGACGTCTGCAAGGAGCCTACGCACACACCCTCCGATGACGATTTTTACGTCACGCAGACGCGGAAAGTATAACACTAGCTTTACACTAACCCTACCCATCTCTCTCTCACACACACACACACTAACCGACCCCTAAACCTACCCATCACACACACACACACAAACTAACCGACCCCTAAACCTACCCATCACACAAACTAACCGACCCCTAAACCTACCCATCACACAAACTAACCGACCCCTAAACCTACCCATCACACACACACACACACAAACTAACCGACCCCTAAACCTACCCATCACACAAACTAACCGACCCCTAAACCTACCCATCACACAAACTAACCGACCCCTAAACCTACCCATCACACACACACACACACAAACTAACCGACCCCTAAACCTACCCATCACACAAACTAACCGACCCCTAAACCTACCCATCACACAAACTAACCGACCCCTAAACCTACCCATCACACAAACTAACCGACCCCTAAACCTACCCATCACACACACACACACAAACTAACCGACCCCTAAACCTACCCATCACACACTAACCGACCCCTAAACCTACCCATCTCTCACACACACACACTAACCGACCCCTAAACCTACCCATCACACACACTAACCGACCCCTAAACCTACCCATCACACACACACTAACCGACCCCTAAACCTACCCATCACACACACTAACCGACCCCTAAACCTACCCATCTCTCACACACTAACCGACCCCTAAACCTACCCATCTCTCACACACTAACCGACCCCTAAACCTACCCATCACACACACACACACACACACAAACTAACCGATCCCTAAACCTACCCATCACACAAACTAACCGACCCCTAAACCTACCCATCACACACACACACACACACAAACTAACCGACCCCTAAACCTACCCATCACACACACACACACACTAACCGACCCCTAAACCTACCCATCTCTCACACACACACACACACACACACACACACACACACACACACACTAACCGACCCCTAAACCTACCCATCACACACACACACACACACACTAACCGACCCCTAAACCTACCCATCACACACACACACACACACACACACTAACCGACCCCTAAACCTACCCATCACACACACACACACACACACACACACAAACTAACCGATCCCTAAACCTACCCATCACACAAACTAACCGACCCCTAAACCTACCCATCACACACACACACAAACTAACCGACCCCTAAACCTACCCATCACACACACACACACACTAACCGACCCCTAAACCTACCCATCTCTCACACACACACGCACACACACACACACACACACACTAACCGACCCCTAAACCTACCCATCTCTCACACACACACACACACACTAACCGACCCCTAAACCTACCCATCACACACACACACACACACACACACACACACACACACACACACACACACACTAACCGACCCCTAAACCTACCCATCACACACACACACACTAACCCGACCCCTTAACCTACCCATCACACACACACACACACCAATCAAGGATCTTCCCTTCCCAAACACACACAAAGTTGCTCTGCGGTGCTTTTGAGGGCCGGCTCTGCAGCCTCTCGTTGAGACTGGCGAACACACTCCGGAGATCTCTGAGTTCAGCGAGCCGCTATTCACAACGGCACCAATCGCCTGCGTCTAAAACAGCTTATCAAGAGGTGCAGGCAATAACAAGTTCACACCGCAGTCGACTGCAAAGAGAGACAAAACCCGTCCGTGTGTGTGTATGTGTGTGTGTGTGTTCTGCCTTTCACACTGCGTTTCCTTGACAACTGGCTGTTCGCTCGTTCCATCTCAATGACACAAGTGGGGAAATTGAGCAGAATACTCGAATCATGTCTCCAAATGGGAAATGTTGATAATTGGCCTTTTGTACGAGACTGAAAAAAATACCACTACATCTGCTAACAATTAGCATGACATCAGCTGTTGTTGGAATGGCAATCGTTACCAATGAAACCGAACCCGGGACCACCGACGGGGCAAGATGAACCAACCTGCCAATCCAAAGCTAGTTACACAACTTAGCCTGATCATTTCTATCTGAACTCCTATCTCTACACAACCCTTCGCTCCGCTAGTCAGAGACGCTGTTCCCAGAGCCAGATTAGCAGGATTTGCTCCTACATTACAGATGTTTCAATCTTTTTCCATTGCTTTTAATGTTCCTTGATTGATTATTTTCACGTTTTGTTATTTATAATGTTTACTCACTTTGCTGGGGAAGTTCGCGTAAGTCAAATCTATGCAGATTTAGCGCAAATACTCATCAATAGTCCTCCTGATGTATTAAATACAGCGTATTGCAGAATCTGTTCATTTCTGGCTCACTTGAACACACACGTCACTACGCAACACATAACGGCGCACTTGTTCACTTGCACTGAAGTAATAGCGAATATTAAAAAGCATTCGGTGAACAGAAAAGACATTGATATTTTCCAACATCCGACATGTTTTTGATGTTCTTTGATCACATTTTTGACAGGGATGAAAGAGGATTGTTTGAATAAGAAATGAATGTATGAAATCCAAATTTTAAAATATTAATACATATACGCTGTGACATCTGTTTTTGTTTTAGTTTTTTGGCTATTAGAAGTTCTGAATGTCCGGAAACGTAATAATTTAGTAGCCAAATTGGCCGGCGAGTACAAAAACTAGCTACCCAACGTATGATGTTATTTGTAATGGCACGCCGTGCAAGGGCTTAATTCCAGCACCCTATCGAAACTAAGCCGTAATTGTAACCCAGTCTTTCAGTTTCAGAGCCTCATTAAATCCCACTCAAAACAATCCACGACGGCACAAGCTGAGAAACAGGTGTGTGTTCACTTCCAGAAATAATACAGCGTATCAATGCACAGGTGTGCCACACACACACACACAGTGAAAACACTGGATATATGTGTGTGTGTAACTCGCATTCCTTGCCGGTGACCTCTACGTGTCAGCAAGTCTCCGGACGAAACCTGAGCACTAGTCGTCAGCTTTGAAGAGACATTTGCACCCTTGCA